ATATATAGAAGTTTAGTGTGTCAAACAATAGTAGCTTAGACTGTGACATGCAAGCCAGAACCTGCAGTATCACTGTATAGAAGTTTTTATAAACATATATAAAAGTTTGTGTCAAACAATAGTAGCTTAGACTGCAACATGCAAGCCAGAACCTGCAGTATCACTGACAGAAGTTTTTATAAACATATATAAAAGTTTGTGTCAAACAATAGTAGCTTAGACTGCAACATGCAAGCCAGAACCTGCAGTATCACTGACAGAAGTTTTTATAAACATATATAAAAGTTTGTGTCAAACAATAGTAGCTTAGACTGCGACATGCAAGCCAGAACCTGCAGTATCACTGATAGAAGTTTATATAAATATATATAGAAGTTTTCAAATTCTATTTGTTTCTAATGCTGATTTTCTTTTCAGCCAGATTGATTATTACTACAAATAGATTAAAAGTTATTCCTCATCCAACTGATGAGCTAATATTGCAATGACCAAAAATGGGTAATGTCACCTAGACATATAATGGGTAAAAAGTACAACCCACAAAGGATAAACAATACTATTTTAAAACTTTGAATTTTTAACCTGAAAGGAACCTTATGCAACACAGGGACAAAATGGGAATGTAAGAGACCCTTAGGGGTTAAAGTACTGTCCCTAACTTTGATGAAATACTTACTAGAGAGAGCAGCCAGTCTGCAGTGCCTGCTATAAAGGCCTTGTTCTGCTCATTCAACTGAACTGATTGTCACTTTTATAACAGCAAAAAATGAGAAGTTTTCCAGATAATTGCGATTCAGGCTGTGGAGTCTTCGATCTGCAGCCCGACACACTGATCACTAAATCACACCTAGTCCATTCATAACTTAGGAATCTTTGGTAGGAATATACAGCTTATCAGATTTTGTTAGATAGATACTGTTGCTTAAGCCTACAGCATCCTTATTGTTTGAAATGCTGCTTTAGAAAAAAAATCTAAAGCAAAATGTTGTTGTTGTGTGCTACATTTTCTATTTTTTAAGATGTAAAATGAGCATATAATTTGTGTAATCTTTATATACACAGCTTATCAATAAGTAACCAAGCACACCAACAATGTCAACTGAATATCCCTCATGAGTATAGCAACTGGTCGTATGGTAGCTTCTTGCTGAATAAGTTTTATAACCACAATAATAAAAACTACCTAAGGTGTATCACATAGGATGATATGCATATACATGTATCAAATAAAAAACTTCTTCAGACTCATAAATCAAGAAATTTTGAAGGCTGCTTTCTTTCAGCAATTAGATGCAGAAGGTGTTAAAAATAACTTGTTTTAGATTTATCAGTTTCTTTTACAGATTCATATATGTCTTCTAGCTTGACATTATTAGTAAAGCTGATGCATAGACTTAGTACAACATGAAATAGCAACAATGACTTAGCAACAAACAACATGAAATAGCAACAATGACTTAGCAACAAACAACATGAAATAGCAACAATGACTTAGCAACAAACAACATGAAATAGCAACAATGACTTAGCAACAAACAACATGAAATAGCAACAATGACTTAGCAACAAACATGAAATAGCAACAATGACTTAGCAACAAACAACATGAAATAGCAACAATGACTTAGTAACAAACAACATGAAATAGCAACAATGACTTAACAACAAACATGAAATAGCAACAATGACTTAGTAACAAAACAACATGAAATAGCAACAAACAACATGATATAGCAACAATGACTTTGTAACAAACAACATGAAATAGCAACAGACAATATGATATAACAAATATTATGACAAAGCAACAAACATTATGAAACAGAAATAAACAATATGATAAAGCAACAATGTCATATAGAAACAAATAAACTGAAAGAGCAACAGTGGTTCAGAAACAAACAATATGAAAGAGCAACAATAAAACACAGCACAAACAACATGAAAGAGCAACAAAAATATGATACAATAAGAAACGATATGACAAGAGCAACAAATATAACAAAGCAGCAAAGGATATGACAGTGATTAACAATAGGACACAGCAGCAAACAATGACTTAGCAATAAAAAATATGAAAAATCATTTAATATAAACATTATATTTGTGATACAGTAAATGAAAGAAAAACAACAACAAAGAAGCCAAACAATAGAGAACATTCTGTTTTTATTTAGCAAAAGTACAACGTAACATCTGTGTATTCTGAAGAAAAAAAAAATGTTCTAACAACCTAGGTGCACTTGACAAAAACTGTTACTAACTTAATACTAGGGTGTTCTGAGGATTAAGTATGTGTGTGTATATATATATATTTCAAATAGAATTTCTTGCAATTAATTTTTATTGTAACTAATATCAATGTACAATAGTACAGAACTTGTAATCTACAAAGACAACTGTGCAAAATAAGCACTTGTTAAGGTGCCACTGGACAAGCTTAACTTTGAAATGGCATCAAAAAGAAATGGGCTTGGCAATTACAAAATTTGTGTCAAGTCCAATCTCGACACAACAGAAATATAATAATCCACATCTGTTAGATCAGGAGTCTCTGTCCTGCACTAAAGTAATACATTCATTGTTAATGCAATTTATCACCATCTAGAGGAAAGTATGTTATATACAGATAGTCTTACAATCCAAACATCTCAAGGATTTGGCCTTAACACTATCTCATTCAAGATCTAGTCAGGCAGTAAAAAACTTTACTGTGGATACTGAGTTGTATCAATTACCCACTTTTAGCCGTTTATTAACAATGATTTGTTACATCTAAATATAATCAAAAACTAACCAATAACCTTGATTAGAACAAAAAAAGGACACAAGAAAATGGTGCATTCTATATAATGATAGAGATATTAAAAACTTTGACTATATTCATGATCTTATATCAGACATAAGTGCTTAACTAGAAACTAACATTCAGCATAGAATATGAAACCTTAACTATGCTGACATATGAACAGAACTTAGAAAATTTATGAATAACTCGTATAGGGTTTTTGACAGCATGACTTTTAACGGCAGCTTAATGACTGATGCTTTAACTATAGACAATACGACAAATTTATTCTTTACCGATTCTTTCGTGGGTGAATAAAAACCATTTAGTGATCAGCACAGAAACTTTTCATAGTGACTGACTTGATGGTTGAGGGATGATTATGCGTGGTATATCACGATGGATGTTTCCCACGAAGCAAGTCACAAATTTAGGGAGTAACATTCAAGCATCTTAAGATGAACCTCAAGGTAAAAACATTAACTAGAATTACAAACTTTCCTATCAAGTCTCGATTTTCATTCTTAAATTTTCTTACAATGGAGCAAACCCATCAAGCAATAACTAACTAAGGACCTTATTAACTTACCGAGTACAAAAACAGTTAAATACATAAAGATATTCAGCAACAACTGCCAAAAACAATAACTTAACTGTCAAAAGTAAAATAGAAGGAACAACCAACAAGAAGCTTGGTTTCAGAATCATGTCACTCTGAAGTAAAAGCCGACAGTTTTAGTCGCTAATCACTTCAGCTTCTACTTTATTTAATTTAAAATATGGCTTCATAAGTCAGTGGGAGAAATATGATAACACAGGTAAAAACAAATTAACAATCTTTTATCTATGTGTTTGCTTAATAAAATACTGTGTTTTTCTCGTAAGTTTGTTCTAATCTGGCTCCTAAAAAAAAAAGGAAGGTGGGTGTAAAAAAAGTAAATTACACTTAGAAGTTATACTCTTATCAAAGAGTTAGTGTAAAACTCTAAACTAGGCTGCTACAAAATACAACTATCGAAAAAGTTCAACTTGTAAAGTTATTAACGTAACTACTCACCAAGCATTGAATGGAAAGGGCAACTAAATGGTCTTTTGCATATAATTATATATATTAAAAAAAAAAAAATCAGCTCACACACAGAGATTCCATCACTTAAGCAATAGAGGAATATGACTCTGGCATCATTTCCACGTTACCTAGTTGTGTATATATATATATATATATATATGGTGAATATTACCGAAAGCTTCTTAACTTCAAATTGTAGCATAATATTTTTGGACTAACTCACAATTTTGTATGTACCAAATTTTGTGGTTAATAGACTAGACTGGCTTTAATTAAATGTAAGAAAGCCAGTTCTTAGTCATGGCTAGTACAAAAGAATGCGTTTCTCGACTGCCTTACGGCAAATGGGACATTCAGTCATGCGATCACCACACATCTGGCAGGTTCCATGGCCACACAAGAAGATCATATTTTTTAGGCGGTCTAGGCACACTGGGCACATTGTCTGCACAAAAAACAACAAAAAACAAAGGGATTATCATTAACACAAAATCCTAGTGTTCTTTATGTCATTCGATCATATTCAGGTTAACACAATAACATAACAAAAAAAAGGACTGGTATTTATATTATTCTTTAGAGCTTCCAAAAGTATAGTGTAGAAACCAAAACAATGAACAAAATTATGATAATGTCCAGATGCTTCAGCTAGGGAAAAAAACAATAACAGAGTATATTCACTTCAAATAAAACAACAGATTGGTAAACATACAACGTATTGTTGTACATATCATCCAGATAGCAGAGTACACCATATTTAAATGACAGAGTTGAAGTATTGACCAGAGGGAAGGTAGTCAGTCAACATCATCCTACCACTTACTATTCACACTAAGGGACTGACTGTCACTCTTGCAATGCACCTTCAGTTTAAATTGCAGAGAATATTTTGTTGTATAACACAGATTTTAAACCAGCTCCGAAATTCAGAGATCTACCACAAAGGCAACCTGTACTCTAAGTAATACAACAAAATAGTAGATACAAGGTAACGGTCCATAAATATTTGTTGACTTTTATTTTACAATAATGGAAGTATCACTGGTAAATAGTTTGTTTATTCTTCAATGTAAATTTGCTTTAGTGCTTCAAAAACTACAAACTTTCTATATCACAACAAACTCCACTATTATATATATATATATATATATATCGATAAATGAATTAACTTGACTAAAATTTACATTATCATACTTTATTGTGAATGGTGTCCAGAAATTATGACGCCAAAATTCTTTACTTGCTTTTCAGAGACAGTATCCTTTTACCATTACTACAATGGCTACCAGAATTTTGTTTATAATAGACAAATGGAGGTAATTGTTGCATACGTTGAATGTCGCAGCAGCGCAACACACACACACTCCTGACAAAAACTTCAATGTCAATTTTGTTTATAATAGACAAATGGAGGTAATTGTTGCATGCGTTGAATGTCGCAGCAGCGCAACACACTCCTGACAAAAACTTCAATGTCAATTTTGTTTATAATAGACAAATGGAGGTAATTGTTGCATGCGTTGAATGCCGCAGCAGCACAACACACTCCTGACAAAAACTTCAAAGTCATTTCTGGACACCTTGTACTTTTTATTCAAATGACTAACCTGTTCTTTGATATCATTCAACTGTTCTTGGAGCTTTTGTACGTCATTGTGGGAGTTATCACGGACCCCATTATTCATCAAGTTACCAGTGGGAGTGGCTGGAGCCTGAGATCGAGGAGGTGCTGGAACAGAGAGAGAGATGCGAGAATTAATATCAGAGCAAACAAATATTATACATGAGATACCAGGTATATAGAAAATGTAATTTATGGAATTTTATAACGTGAAGTTTTTACCTCTTATCCTCTTGTGTACATATTAGGTTAACTTAATATGTTGACATGAAGAAGGGAATAGATTAATTCCATTTACTATCAGTGGGAGAGAACAGATTAACTTCACACATTACCAGAAGGAGTGAAGAGGTTAACTTCACACATTACCAGAAGGAGGGAAGGGGCTAACTTCACACATTACCAGAAGGAGGGAAGGGGCTAACTTCACACATTACCAGAAGGAGTGAAGAGGTTAACTTCACACATTACCAGAAGGAGGGAAGGGGCTAACTTCACACATTACCAGAAGGAGGGAAGGGGCTAACTTCACACATTACCAGAAGGAGGGACGAGATTAACTTAATATGCAGTCAGGGAGATGGAAGAGATTAATTTAACCCCTATCGCTATGGTTTTCTTGTGGTTGGGGTCAAAGGGCATATCATCATATTTGTAAACTTACATTCAGAATATTATTTTGGTATAAAATTGTAGATTAGAATTCAAATTTTAGTATTATACATTAGTTAATTTCTTAATTTAAAAGTAAATATAAAAAATGTTTAAATATCGATTTGTGTATGTCACATGGTATGTTGAATACAGCTTATGTTCAAATTAGATGTTTGTGATGTCCAAATACAAAGTCTAAAGTTTCCTATAATTAGAAACTCAAATTATCAAGCTAGAACATAAAATAAGAACCTCCTATCTTTTCTAATTGCTGAGATATCACTATATTTAGTGAATCAAACACAGTGGCCCCGCCCACCTCTTCCATTTTTGGAAATACTTCCTATCTTTTCTAATTGCTGAGATATCACTATATTTAGTGAATCAAACACAGTGGCCCTGCCCACCTCTTCCATTTTTGGAAATACTTCCTTACGTACATCCGCTTCACTCTATCATTTGTTTATAACCAATCAAAAGCTGAGAATTTCCCCACATGGTTTCCTCAGCTTCTTGAAGGTGGGAATTTCCCGAGATTATTTCTTTTGTCTCCAATCTTCGAAGAAAGGTGCAAGTGAAAATATTGTTCAAAAAACAATATTTCTTTAGACCCAACTACAGTTTAGTTAGTAAGCCTGATAAATTACAGTGGAATTCTGTGATATTGGTAGAGTTATTTCAATTTTTTTGTTATTTCAATATATATATATATATATAAAAACCTAAAAAAGTTATTTTGTTTTACATTTTCCATGCAAGGTTTGGCAAGTGAATACAAACTTCTTTACAATTGTAAGTAGCAGAGATCATTGTTATCTGTATTTACTGTTCTCTGTTTTAAGAAAAACAACTGAAATTTAAGAACTTATTTGTAAATAGTAATAATATATATATATATATATATACTATA